TGAGTGAAGACGGCTGAAGATGGTTTTGTTATCCGACTCGAACCTCAAAACGAGCCTCGGCGCCATCCTCCTCGGAGGTATGATCTGTACGGGGTGCGTCTGACGGAATGCGTCTACCGACTTCAAACCCTTCTGAGCTGCAATGTCCCCTGTCCAGGCTCTCCGGCATTGTCGGAATGCAGACTGTCTTATACTTCCGTTTGTTCACGCGGGATATGACGTCTACGAAGATTAGAGTGCGTACATATTCTTCTGCTACCTGGTTAAGAATACTCTGAGGATGCTGACGTCTTGTGTAGGTCGCGATCGTCTTGTAGGAAGCCTTCCGCTCAAGAGGGTAATAATAGTACTGAAACCTTCCTACCCAGCTTCCTAGACCTCCTGCACTCAGTGATGATCGCCGCTGCAAATTACATGTACTTTGTCAATCATTTCGGAGAGGACGACGTGACGGACCATGTATTCTGGTAAGCGCTAACCCTCCTGTACTCAACGCTCTTCTGACACAGTGGCCGTATAGGACTATTGGGGTGAGTGCGAGATGCACATGTGCACACATATTCTAACCAGGGACCATCAGGTATCAATAGCTTTGACGGTGAGTGTCCCTCAAACTTGCACGCGTTCATGTCGTCCTGAGCGCAGGAATAGGCGGTGATCACCGTTTGTGTACACTTGTAAGTGCGGTTCCTGTTCTGTGTAGTGGTGGTCTGGCGTACTCAACCGCTGCAGGTTCTTCTCCATGCGCTTGTTCAAGCGTACGTGCCATGATTTGCGGCTATGTCTGCCTGATTAACGTCGCCCGAAGTGAGCAAAGGTAACTATTGGATTACCGCCCCGATCGTGAGTCGTCCCATCGCGAGTCACACGAGCCGTCGCTCATCGAGTGATATCTGTAGGCTGTTCTCGCGGTCGCCCGAGTAGGTGAGTGCACGAACCAGATGCATCGTATTCATCAACCTGACCATCACCGCCAAATTTTGATAGTCGCTGCGTTCGGTAAGTGGGATAAAGTCAATCGTCATGTTCCTTGACTGACAGCGGAAAAACCCTCAAGTGACGGCCGTCGAACTGTGAGACCTGACATTTCTGCCATCCACGCGGTGAGGCTCACCAGAGAATTTCCTGCGTAGCATTCGTCTAAAGAGCTTCTACGAGTTTGGCGTACGCTTCCGAGTGAGTGCATAATCACTCAGTATTGCTCCTTCTACGGTTAACGATGGTCCATTGCGTTCCAGTGGGTCTTCACGCTTGGACTCGTGCTATCTGCCGTCGTAGACGGGCTGATCACCATCAGTCTATGCTTCTACCTGAGGAGACACCGTGGCGGCACCGGCAGGTCAGTGGCGACGGCCATATTCTGCGCCTCAAGCACTGTCTTACGTCCAACAGGTTCGACCACATCTTGAATGCGGTCACGCTGTACACCGTCGAGAACGGTTTGATCACTTCGTACGTCTCACGCAGCTTTTTCTGTCTGTCACGGTCTCTTACCAGGCTTGATGCAGTGTGACCACGCTCGTTTCTTTGATATTCGTGAGTAGCGGAGTGGGACTACGCGTGGCGCTCAGACGGCTCACATTGAGTTGCAGTGGCTCGTCAAGTCAGACGAGCTTATTTACTTGGGTCTACACTTCGCGATCAGCAAGCGTGAGTCTTCCAGCTTCGAGCGGCTGCTTGCTCCATCGCTAACGACCCTCCAGTCTATGCGAACTCGTTCCTCGCTTCGTGAGTAGCACATTTCCGAGCATTGAAGTTTCCCGCTCACTGTGTCTGCGCGACAGCATGAATGCTCGTAAGAGCCTCATGGCGCAATCGCAATCACAGTCTACAAGCGGGCACCGCCTACCAGTGATCTTCCCCACTCAGCGAGGGCTAGGCGACCGTTCCGTGAGTGGTCTTTACTGCCAATATGGCCAATGCGGTCGTCGCTGACCCTCATCATCTGCAGAATGCCGATCAGCTCGACCTCGGGATTGGCACGAGAGTGAGCCATCATGACCGCCCAGCGTGCGCTTTCTCCGACGCTGAACTCACTCGTATCGCAGGTGCACATCACAGTAGACAAGACGACCGACTACGTCGCGGACGACATGCACGACAACGCGTCGTCGGAACAGCTGTCCGCGGACCAGAAGGGCGTCGGCATGTCCTCCCGCGCCTGAGGGCCTAACGAGCATTACGAGACGAGCGAGCCTGGATGCATTCTCTGTACATACCCTTGTTATACCAGTCCGATCCTTTGGAGTGCCCTTGCAGGTTCTCACGTACCGTACCGCTGCCGCGTCCGCGTCGCGCATTCGGCGGCGCTGTTGTTCTAATACTATTCACGACATTGGCAGTTGCTTTCCAATACATACGTTCACTTAGTCTAACAGGTTGATCTACATCATCGAGTGCTTCTTCGCATTAGAGGTATCATATCCCCGAAGCTGCGGTGCAGGAGGTGACCGCGCTCCTTCTTCACGTATAGGAGGTAGGTCGACGCGCCTGCGAAGACGCTGATGTAGGAGGCGAGGGCGGCGTACTTGAATTGCGACGGCCGACTCAAGATGATAGTCAGTATGTACTGTTTCACCTCGTCAGCATACGGACAACGACCGAGGCGTCAACAAAAGAGAGAGACGTGCTTTTAACATGTCGGCCATATTTTGCAAGGAATATTGCAATCCGGTCCTGCGAAGGAACGATCAGAAGAACGGATGGCAACACGGCCGGGAAGCGGCACGCACAGGGTGTTGCGGCGAGGGTGCTCTGCGAGAGCGAGTTGCAGTTCCTTGAGCTGGCACAAGTCAAAGGCCCACAGGCCGATGCGGGAGAGTATCATCCCTGACACGACAGTCAACGCCAGCTGGACAATTCACTTAGGATAATAGAGTCATACCGCCGAAGAGCAATGCCGCGTTCCACACAGGGGCGCGACTGCCGTCCGAAGGCGCACCCACGTACAACGTGATGAGTACTGGGAGGAGGCATATGACCTCAGACCTATTTAGAATTATCAGCAAGAGCGGCGAGGGGAATATCCCTATGAAGGTCCTCACCAGATGCTCCAGTTCCCGGCACGCACAAGACCCAGCTTCCTCTCCAGGTACGGCATGGCAAGAGTGCCCGCAAGGCCAGCGACAACGTTCAGTCCGCGCATTCCTGCCAAGAACGGGTCGCTGTATGCGTGCGCCTTGAAGTAACTGAGCATTGTGCCGTCGAAGCTGAGCACGGTGAGATACAGGCACGATATGGCGACGGAAGACAGGAAGATCGGGTACTGCGAGAACTCGCGCCAGTCGCGGACGAACGAGTGCAGCCTTCCTAGTATGCCATGTAATAAAGACGGGTACGCCGGCACGCGTCGGATGCGAGCTTCTGAACGACCGGTATCCTGGGGGTGCGCACGTCGAGCAGCTTCCCTTGTGATCTGTGTTTCCCGGAGGGCGGGGAAACGACGGTAGGATATTTCGATCCCTGTGCCGAGTCAATGACCTACGTCGCAGAAAAACTAGGACGACCTACAGATCAACTCGAAGACCATGCAGGCGACCTCCACCGCGCAGAGAAAGATGGCCGCAAAACGATAGGAGGCAGCCGTCGTCAATAACGACACGAACAATGGCGCCACGAGCTTGCATAAGAGGTCAATGCGCCGCATGTACGTGTTAAGGGTCGTGAGGTGAGCCGAAGAACTCCCTGCGATGGATGTCACCCAATCTCGTTCGACGGCCACCGATATCGTTACACCGGAGAGATTGTGGGCGCAACCCCCTAATACAATGAGGGCGAACATCCCAGAGGTCAGAGGAGTGGTCCACGGTTTTGCAGTGTCGGTCTCTGGCCGTGAACGATACAGGAGGGTGAGGCACCCGCTATACATCGTGCACGCAGCGAGCTTGATCGTGACTATGCTCGCACGGACGATGCCCAAGTTATGATGTTCGTCTACAAGCCTGCCGGCCCAACCCGAGAGTAAAATGGCAGCCCCCGTAGTCGCGAAGCCGTAGATCGAAGCTGGTAGAAGCGTGTTCGGGAAGAGGGTCACTAGGAGCAGATACACGGCGAATTCGGCGGTGCGCAGTCCCCATGAGCTTCGTCTCACGTCAGTACGTCCTGTATTTGAGAATTACGAGTACCGCTCAACTTGGATAGATGCTGGATCAGCAAAGTAGCCAAGGCTACGCGATCCAAAGGCTGTGGGTGCTCGGAGCCACCCATCGTTACCTCCCTGAGTGGTTCATGTTGCACAGCTTGAGCTTCTGAAGAGGCACGTCCTGGCGGGACGCGTGGCAGTTGGGCACTACTACCTGCATCCCTTGCCGACGTGTCCAGCGATGGCATGACCTATACACGTACGAATCTGCTGTCAGCTTGTGTGGGGGACTTCCAGGTTGGAACGTAGCCGACCTTCAAGCACGGTTGTCGCTGGGGGAGAGGCTGAGAGCGTTTGAGTGCAAACTTGAGTAGGAAATTTCCCACTATCGAACCTCCTCAGAGACAGCTGGTTGAACGTCGTAGGCAAACCATGATATCGAGGATCGTACCACTGGCCATTACCCCCTTTGAAAAAAATCCACTGGCCATAACGTCATGAAGCGTCTGCTTGGAGGCTCATGGGAATAGGCTTGGCTCCGACCCAGGCAAGAGCGAAGGTGGATGGACATGCTCGTAACGATAATAAATGGTACGCACCTGAAGGGTTTCCAAGAACCCTTGGCACAGTGGTAGCGCGTGAGATTCCAGATGGTGAAGTCATTCACCCAAGGGAAATCCTCAAGGTCGTCCGTTCGATCCGGGCAGGGTTCACTTTTTCTCTTTCCGTGTGCCGTAGTTCTGCATTCAGGACCTTTAATCACGGAGCTCCAGAGATACCACATGGCTATATACTTCAGTAGTTGTAGGTCCGTATTGAAATGATATGCTCATAAGACTGTATGTAGTCTTCACTACCAGTTACTCGCTTGTGGGATCTGCTAGCGGGCTGTGGCAGCTTGAACGAAACACGGCATACGTCTCTGTTAGTATATCGGTTAGTACATGCGCCTGTCACCGCCATATGCTGGTCGCGCGAAAGCGGGGTTCGACTCCCCGACAGAGAGCGTCCCACTCAGTGGTCTCCGCTCTTTTTGCGATCTGGCGACGAGCCATCTTCCGAGAACGACGTCTCAATCAGTGACTGCCTTGCAAGCTTACCAGTTCCGTTGCATTCTGTCTGTTTTGTAGCGTCGTGAACCCGACCGATACCTCAGTAAGCACCTACACAAACTTAGGGCGATTTGCACAATCAGCTGCCCGTAGGGCCGCGGAAGTCAGTGGGGGCTGACTGGCTGCCTGAGTCGGATGATGTGCCTACAAAGGAGGGGGAAGCGCGTTCTAAACGCGGGTAGCTCAACTGTCCATGATTGCATATCATGGCCTTACACGCCTCGAAGAGCATCAAGGCTACATATGTACATTACATAGTCATACATGCAGCTCCCCCTTGACGTCAAGCCACAGGGAGTCCAGGAAGAATGCTTATTGTTAGCGGTAAATAGAGGACGGTGACCTGCACGCTTGCATGGAGTCAGCAGGCACGTCACGGCTCTATGGTTCGGTCAAACCCGTACCAGAGGCTTATGCCCATAGCGTTAGCTTCGTGAAGTCGACGCCACCGCGTTCGTTGGGATGGGCCACGAACAACGCACCCAAACACGTGGCTAGACGCGTTCTGGGGTGAGTGAAGGTAGCGGTGTTTCAGAGGATGCAGTGTAACTCACCAAACTCTACGCCAGACTCTTTGCATGGCACCGTAGCGAGGCCCGCCGCTCGGAGCGCGGTCATGACCTGACCATACGTGCCCCGGAAGAGCGACCCGGGCAGGCCTTCGTGCTCCACGTTCTCGGAGTGGATGCTGCTGATGGAGGCGCGACAGCGCCCTGCATCATCCATCGGGTCGCCCAGCTCTCCGGACGGCGAGGTGTCCATCCCGGCAGCCAGGACCGCCTTCGCGATCCTGTACTTCAGGCGTGCCAGGCGGTGCTCGGAGAGCTTGCACGGCGGCTTTGCGAGCTGGGACGCGAAGCGGATGTACAGCCCGTGGTCCTCGGTGAGGTCGGGCCCTGCGCCCGGGCCTGTGAGGGTCTCTGAGGAGGCGGTCGACGTGAGTGTCCGGTCCGAGTTGAGAGTGCTCCTGCTGATCGTGGGACGGAGATTGAGCGAAGGTCGCGATTCCGAGGCTTCCCGCCGGGATGTGACTGAGCGCGAGGAACAGCGCGAACTCGAGCGAGAAGGCGAGCGGAAGGTGACGTTGGCGAACTCTACGAGATAGGGAACGCCGAGCGCGTTGAAGCGGATTTCCGGGGCCATCGTAGGCGTGGGTGTGAGTGCGGGTCGGGTATACGGCCAATACCAGATTGGAGTCCCAAGGTTAGGGGGCGACGCAGCGAATCCTCGAAGACCCGCACAAGACACCGGTTAGCGGCAGATATACGGTACGAGCAGCCGCCTTGTGGTAGACACGTTCAGACATCTCTATGCGCAGAAGAGCACACTTGAGGGAGCTGCAGAATGAATGGGGTTCCCAGGAGATCGACGTCCCAGATCGAAGACGGCCCATGAGACACGCTAGAGCGGTGCTGCAGGCGAGAACGGGAATTGGACCGGCTAGCGAGCGGCAGCAGTAGTCGACTCTCTTCCAGAGATACTGGGGCGCCCATAGGGGATGTGCACGGAAGTACGACATCCCAGGCCGACGTCGTCCAGATGAGCATGACAGGTTTCCGAGTGTAAACGAGCCGAGATGCAGTAGAGTCGTTGCAAGTGAGCCTGATCATCTGCGACAGTCAGCTGGTCTGGTGTAATGAGAAGCCACCTGCTGCTCGCCAGTATTTCACGCGACAAAGGGCTACGTCAGCGCTTCTCCTGCACACGAGGTCACGTCTGGTAAAGGAGCGACTGTGAGGCCGTCCTGGTCCGTCGAATGGACGCGGAAGCGGCATGCGTGACGGCGATAAGGATTTGACTGCAAGGGGCCACAGTAGGTTCAACTGAGCTCGAGATACGCCTTACGATGTAACTTTGACTGGAACTGTGAAGAAAAGACAGACTTTGTACAGGGAAAGATGCTAGCTAAAGAGCACGTTGGTGTACCGGAGACAGCGTTGAGAGTGGAGGATTCAATGGGACCAGTGATGTCCGACGTCGTGGAGGTCGAGAGAAAGAGGCGGAGCGCCCATAGCGGCTCTGGAGGTCTGCGGCCCGATCGAGAACTACATGGTAGATGCAACCGGCGCGCGTGCTTCAGGCCTGTTCATCTGCCGCCATCTCCTTCACCTCGCTCTCGAGTTTTGACTGGAAGCTTGAACAGCTCATGCACCGATTGTTACGACCGGGCCACCATACTCAACCCCACCCAGCATGTGCGACAAGGCTTCGTCACCGTCCGTGGTCGACATTGTATGCCGCTCATGTCAACTCGCATTCATCCCGGGACGTCTTTCACACCATCGGCAAAACCGTGCTCAAACGCATGCGGAGCCTGCCGGTACTCATACAACGTGCAAGCCTGTCAAAGAGCCTACATACTGCTGTCCGCCTGTCCTTGGCCTCGTGGTATCCTGTGCTGCGATGTCAGAGGCGCTATATCTCTGCTCCTGGGAACGGCCTCGGTCTCCTGCGAATCACGTCTGTCCTCGTCTCCCGTTTTCCTCTCTTCGGCGCTGGCTGGGTGCTCCCAGGGAGATGATTTGGTCGATGAGGGATGGTCTTCTTTGTTTGCGGATTGACGGCCGCGGTGTCTGCGTGACCTTACTCGTACACCGGTAGAGGACACGACAGGGTCCTGCTTCTGCTCACCTGCTTGTCCTCAGCCTCGACTCGGCGTGGGGATGCTACCTCTAGCGGTACCGGATATCCGGACCCGGGCGGGCTTTGCGGGAAGGGGAGGCTCGACCTCCGCGACCGAGAGTCGTAGCGAGGCCGTTGTGGGACGCTTCCTGGAGGCATCGCGTATGGGTTGTGTATGGGAGGGGCGAGTGGTGACTTGGCGTAGCTCTCCTCTGAGGATGTCGTGCGGTACGACGATGATGTCTGGATGGATGCTCTGGTGGGGGACGGTGTTGATGGTTGCTCGTAGGTCTGTGCTGCCTGCGCCTGGACCCAGAGTGCCGTGCGTTCAAGAGGAGAGAGCTCCGGGGGACTCGCGTCGCGGGGCATGGAAACAGCGTGGTAGAGGGAGGGTTCGTGGTGTTGCGCGGGTGCGGACGAAAAGCCCGCGGGTGTCTTATAGCCAGCGTCGATCTGCACGGATCCGGCAGCGTCCAAGGAATGGGGTCTCTTCGCAGGCGCTCCGGCAGCAGTACATGTGTCCAGAGATGCGCCGCAATTGTGTTGGAGCAAGTGGGAACGCTGTTGTTAGGCGAGAGCTCGCTCGTTTTGGCTCCAACTTCCCTTGCCTCATTTTGCCACACCGACACACCAGCGCAGGACGCCGAGAGAGACGAGCGCGTTCATCTGCACCGGTCTCCGAGCCGTCATCGCACTAAGAACCTGGAAGATCCCCAATTCCGGGTGGCAAAGTCAAGAAGGGGTTCCTTCCGGGGCTGCCCTCGTGGCTGTGCTACTATTCATGGGGTCTGAACCTGTTTCCCAGTCCATGCTCTCCTCTCCTCATGACGGTGGGCACTGTTGCAAGGCACAACGTTCGGATAACGTTCTAGTCGCTGTATCTCAACTATCTGGATTATTGTAGGCTCGTTCCCAGCCTGTTCGGTGCTGACGTAATTCAAACTCAGTCGAGGACTCCTGTGAGGGCACCGAACAGGCTGGGCTCACTCGGGGGCCTTTGGTCCAGGGGGGGTCGTGTGAAAATGTACTTAGCGATTTCGTGTTCGGCTCCCTTGAGGAAACAAACAATGGCTTGGTCCCCTGTATCGCACATGCATAGAATGAGTGAACAAAGCTCCAAGTCACTCATCAATTAAGTCCATGTCAAGCGCTACATCCTCAGCTGTGTCTAGCGAAAATATCTGGTCGTCGTCATAAGTCCAAGCACCCACTGAGGCCCAGTACTCGTCCTCGTCCTCG